CTGGGGGTCCTCGTGACCAGCCCCTGACTCACACACACGTGCTGGGCTCCTCTCAGCGTGGTGCCTGCCCAGACATGTGCCCAGCTCACACAGCTCCTCCACACGTCCAGCCCTCCATCCAAGGCTGTCTTTGAGACAAACATTCATGGCTCGGTCCTCCACAGTGACCTTATCGCTCTCTACAACTACCTGAAAGGCAGCTGTAGGGAGGCGGCTGTGGAAATGGTCTGAAGTGACACCAGGGGAGGCTTAGGTTAGCCATTAGGAAAAACGTCTACACCGAAAGGGTTATCAAGGACCAGAACAGGCTTCCCAGGGAAGGGGCTGAATCACCATCCCTGGGTGTATTGAAAAGTCATCTAGATGGGGTGGTCAGGGATATGGTGTGGAAGTGGCCAAGTGGAGTTAGATAATGGTTGGACTCGACAGTCTTGAAGGCCCTTTCCAACCATAGTGATTCTGTGATCGTCAGAAGAGCCATTTTCTCCTGCATGCACTATGTCAAAACATCTGCCCATTAAATTTTAAACAAGGGGGACTACAGGCCTCAACCCAACCTCCTCTGGGATCTGCTAATGTCTTTTCCTGGTGTACAGCCAGTGGGTGTGTACAGAGCTTGCAATTGACACTGGTGTCACAGCATGGCTCCTCTCTGTTCCCAACAGTCTTCGATGTCTTATCCACTTACTATGAGACCCAGAGCTGGCCCGCAGCCTTGAAGGCTGGAGTTTCTTGTGGAAAAGGCTATGTGCTGCCAGATGCAGTGAAATAAGTGGAAATACCTCCTGATAAGGATGCACAAGAAAACTTTATTTTGTGACATTAAGGAGCTGTGAACACAGGTGATGCACATGCCATAAAGCAGAGGCACCAGCATGAACATACGTGATCAGCTCTGCCTGTGGACCTTGTCAAGATCAACACATTCTACCTCAGCAATGCAATGCTGGAAATGACTTTTCCCCTTGAACAGAAAACAAAAGCTGATGTAGCCCTGTATCAAGTAATACTGGACAGGAGCTTGGTTCTGCTTCTTTGCAGATGCTCGTTAGTGCTTCTCACTCTGGTATCCACACCTGTTCTGAGACAAGCAGGAGAGCTTTCAGGTATTTAATCTGGATTAAACTATTAGTAAAGTGAAGTTGGACTTGCAAAGTTTATGAGTGAGGAGAATTCCTTTCCATGGAAAAGGACAGGACTGTTCCAGCTGGGGAACAGGTGGGATGTGATTCTCCAGTGGAGAAACTGTTCCCAGGTGCACCATGTCCTAACAACTTTAAACCAGGGTAACTGAGGACTGGGTGAGTTGTTGAAGCCTATGGCTAATGCTGTGCATCTACTCTAAAAAATTTGAAATAAAATGTTTACTCTTAAACTCCCATTGCATCCTTAATTTACTGATGCATCGTACATTATTGCACACTGACATGTGAACCCTGATGTTCATCCTGGGAAGGTGTCTGGGATTTGACTCGTGCTACTGCACCCTGTGCAGTGCAGTGTGTCAGCCACAGCAGAAAGCATTTTTGGTGCATCTAGCTCACTACTTTACCTCAGCTAATGCTGCTAAAAAGCCCACCTCACAGTCAATGAGTACCAGTTGAAGGACTTAAAGGTCTTCTGAGGTAAATCATGATCTCATTTGCTAATGTGTCCTCATTTCTCATTCCCCTCAAGAGGTTTTTGCACCATTGGTGTTCCATGTCCCCAAGATGGTGTCAGCAAGGCTTGCAGCATCAGCTTCTGGTGGATGCCACGTGCTGCTCCTCACAGTAAATTTGTGGTGCCCTTGGCCTCACTCAGCCCTGTGGACTCTTTCAACATCCTGTGCTCATCCAGGTCTTACTCTGCACATCCTCCTGCTGATCAGCTGTTGATGTGTAGTTACTGCACTTGGGGATCAGTGCACAAGTTTAACTTAACCCTCGTGTCAGCAAGGCAGCACCATATGCAAACTCAAACCACCTGGCAGCAGCTGAGGGTGCTTTGGGTGCCCTGTCCCTGTAGGGCCAGGAAAGCTGCCTGCCCTCAGGTACCCAGCTGAGTACACACGCACTGTGAGAGCAGGTTTGGTGTAGGCTGCTCAAGCTTGCTGGGTTCCTGCGGGTGTTTCCCTGGTTAGGAGGGTTAGGTCTCTGGCATCCTGCAGCACTCCCTCCAGAAATACCAAAGAATGAGCAAAACATGGACGTAGCCTCCCTCAGATGTTCCAGAGCCCCAGGATGGTCTTTTTCTCACATTGCCCTTGGTGCCTGGTGAGACATGGGTGCACGAGCACAGCCATGGCCCACCCAGCTCCACTACTGCCTGGTGCAGGCGCCTCCATCCTGAGCACCCACTGCAGGCAGCCCTTGGCAGAAGCAAGTGGTTCCCACCCCGCTTCTGTGGCACACAGCAGCACTTGGGAAACCTGCCTCTGCCCTCTTCATCAAAGAACTCTGTGGTGATGCCTCCAGCATGAGCATGGGGATGGACAACTGGATGGCTGTTAAGAGAAACCATGTTAGAAGAGCACGATATGGTCTTGCTTCCTTCAGCTGAGACGACCCTCTCTTCTGGCCTTAGAAGGAAAAGCAGTTAAATGGAGCTAAACTTTCTCCACAGAGAGGTTCCCACAAGTCCGGACACATCTTCAACCAAAGAAAGTGGACAAAGCAGCTGGGATTCCTTTATGTCATGATGGGGTGGGGTTTGATGCTACACTATTTCAGCATCTGTTTTGAGAGAAAGGAGCAGGAGGAAAGGCAGGCCAAAAGGCGCTCATCTTTCTCCAAAAGTAACAGACACTAGCCACCTGCAAGGCCTTTGGGAGTTGAGGAACAAGCCCCAGGCAGGATACATAAGCCAGTGAAGTACTCCACAAGTTTGCACATCACATACAGATTGTGTATGCAGCATTGCAGGAAGCTAGGCTGGGGGGTGGGGTGGCTATTCCCTGCACCACAGCCACCCCCTAGGCTCTTGGCAGAGCTAAACTGACACACATAGACACATTCTTGCATAACCATTCTTGAACTGTGTGTGGGGGGGTCAAACCCTGTGGGGAAAAGCATGGTAGTGGACAATGGGAAGGTGGTTGGGCTCTGCCCCACACAGTACACTCATGTGCTACCCAACAGCCCATCACAGCAATGGTGGTGCCCTGAACTGCTGCAGGAGACAGAACATGGCAGCTGTGAGTGCTGTGTGTTGGCGGGTGAGGAGCTTGGCACCCAGATCTGGGCAGTCTTGCCTGCGAAGCTGCTGGTGAACAGCCTGCACAAGCTGGTGGTAGGTATCCACCACATCCACAAGTGCAGCCCCAAGTTCCGTCTGCCTCTGCTGGCAGAGCTGGCAGTGTGTAACCTGGAAGCAGGCCACTGCCAGCTGCACCAGGTGCTCAAATGTGACTCTCAGAACTTCCTGCAGCTCTTTAAGGGGCTGCTCTGTTCTCAGGAGCTCCTGGCAACTGGACAGCAGGTCCCGCGAGGCTAAGCCAATGGCACCCTTGCTCTCAGCACCCTGCTCTGCACATTGATCCTGCAGGTGGGTTGCTTGGTTCCCCGAGAGCTTCTCAACAACCTCCTGAAGCTCTCTGGTGTAGTCTAGGAAGCAAGAGAAATCTCCAGGACTTATCTGTGCTTGGTACTTCAGGTAACTGAGGGCTTGAACATGAATGTCCTGCCCTGCCATGTCCCTAGCAATGGAGATGGGGTAAGTGCTCACAGAGGTCCTAGGAACACTGCAGCTTCTGGATGGTGGGGTGGTGAGGGGCCCCAGAAATGTGCTGCACATGGGAACAGTAGTTTCATGTTCCCCTCTGTCATCAGGCCTATGGAAGCAGCTGATATAGGACAGCTGACAGCTGCACTTGTCCATGCCAAGATGTGGTAATGATGTCTTCATAGTGGAAAAACCCAAGAACTTGGTTGTGATGGGGTCAGAATGGGTCTGCTCATCCTTCATGTGGTTAAAGCAGGGGAAGGAGTGTTTTGAAGCCTCTCCTGCTCTTTTCCCCAGTAAGCCCAAGGGAGTTGTGCCTGAGGAGATGGAAAGCCTTGGAGATGGGTTCAGAGAGTTTTTCCTCACCTCAGTAGCCTGTTCTCTAGGAAGAGGAGTCTGAACATGCCACCACTGGCTGTGAGCCACATTTATTGCATCTTTTCTGGGCTCTCCTTCATGAAGCCCCTGGCTGCTCATGAACACTTCCTCAAATTGTGGTCTAGCTGGGGATGTTTCTATCACTCGTTTGACAGCATTAGCCCCCAGGCACCCACTGGTCTGAGAGATCAAAAGCTTTTGTGGGTTATCTACCCTTTCCTGAGATGGGCTAGCTGATGCAAGGTCTGTCCTTTCCCCAAAGGAGAGCCAGGAGAGACGAGTTATAACCCCTGAAGTGCTGTTGGAATCTGTTAAGAGTTGGGTTGCATCTGGAAAACCCACATGATTTTTATCGTGCACTTTCCGTAAGGCTTCATTTACCACTTGTCTGCTTTTCACCTGTGACAAGGCACTGTCACTGCTCTTTCCAGCACAGCTGTCACAATCAGCTTTTCTCTCTTCAGAAAGAGTCAGGACAGGCTCCTCACATCCTGTGTGCCTCCCAGCAGCAGGGACCAGTTCCTGGTCTTGGGACACCTCATGGGGACAGGCCACGCTGGGGCTGTGAGCTGACGGCAGCAGTGTGTGTTCATTAGCAGAGCAGGTCACCTGCTGGCCCCTGAACGGAGGTAGATCAGCAGCTTTGTGCTGGGCTGCCATCACCTCACCCACCTCCTCCAGCTCCACTTGGGCCAGCCAGAGTCCAGTAGCCACACAGCTCTCCTCTCTCAGCCACCCAGTATATGTTTTTGTGGAGAAACTTTCCTGGGCAGCTCTGCTTTGTCCCACAGGAAGGGGTAGAGCCTCCTTCAGGGACAGGAAAGGTGGATGTACAGCATGTGCAGGCTGGAGGCCACCGTCCACATGCACGGCAATGCCTGCACTCTCTTCCCTGTGCTGGTAACCCTGCAGGCAAAGAGCTGAAATGGATGAAAACCCTGAATCAGTCACTGATTTTGCTTCCATTGTGTCAGGCTCCATTTCCATTGGGTCAGAGGAGGGGTTTGTGCTAGCAGGGTCTCTCTGGGCCTGGGTGGCAGCAGGACGTCCCAGCTCTGTATCCTTGATGGTGTCTGAGGAGGGTGGAGCAGGCAGCTGAGCAAGGAGCGGGGCAGAGGGTGGCCAAGAGCAGCAGCTCTGCAGAGAGCCTGGCAAAGCTGAGGGGAAAGTGACCTGCGAAGTGTAATCAGTTTTCAGGAATGATCTCCTCTTCCTCAAGCTTGTGGCATATGTCAGCTCCTTCTCCTTTCTGTGTTTCTCCTTTGCTGTCTTCCTTGTCATCAGGTTTTCCCCCAAGCTGTAACACCTTGGTTTCTTTAGGATGCTGGAGGAGCTGTCTGTACCCTCCCAGGACATGATATTGCAGCCTAATGGCAAGAAAAACACATGCAAGTCAGGAAACAGACCCTGGCAGCATAACATCCATGAGCCTATGCAACAGGCCAAAAAGCTCTTAACACCAGTCCTGTAATTGCACACAAATGTTTGGCTCCCAAGTGCCAAAGAAAACAGTCTCTTACGTTATGATCAAGCACCTACTTGGAATCACCTTTTACAAGAAAAATACAGAGTCTGGGCTTGTGGCTACAGAGACCTTGAAGGCCTCAAGTTGTGCAAGGGGAGGTTTAGGCTGGATATTGGGAATTTTTTTTCCTGATAGGGTTGTCAAGCCCTGGATAGTGGTGGAATCTCCATGCCTGGAGGGATTTAAAATCCATGGAGATGAGGTGCTGAGGGACATGGTTTAGTGGTGACCTGGCAGTGCTGGGCTAACAGTTGGACTTGATGATCTTAAAACTCTTTTCCAACCAAAATGATTTCTCATTCTATGATTAGTGATGCAGGGCACTGCACAGTCTCTCTGCTTAACTGGAGTCACCTGATCTGACTGCATGTACAGCTGTAATTCTCAAGTTAAATGTAGTGATATTAGCAGCACCTACAGACAGTGCTGCCTACAACTGTAGATTTATTAAAATTGAATAGAAACAATTATCACAAAATGCCAGCCTCTGTAGATGACAAAAATGTCCAGATATTATATTTTTGTGCCTGAATATGAAATTGTTACCATGTGTGAGTGCAAAACCTAAAATTGTTCTAACTACACAGAACAAATTCTTAAGAAGGCCAGTTAATGTTGAAAGAGCTGGTTATTTCAGAAACAAGAACCCTCTCCATTCTGAGAAAATACAACTACCAAGGAGCTGCTCAGCCACAGTACTCATTGACCCAGGCATGTAATGTTCCCGACCCAAAAATTGGTTTTGATCCTGGGGACACATGGAACAAAGATGTTTTACAGGTTTAAGCACTCCTCAGCTTGAAGGAAGACAGCAGACTGAAGGTACTGCTTGACAGTGTGACTATCTGTCATAGAGTGCCCTGTCACTAGCATGACATGCATCTTCCCCATGTTCTGTTTCTGGGACTCATCCCTCTTTTCATCACCAAAGACTGAACCTTCAGAGAAAGACACGCAGAACTTACTCCTGTGGCATACTGGCTTTGGGATCAGGCAGTGCCATGTATCATTATTGTGGAATTCCTGCAGAAACGTGGGAACTTTCCAGAATGTCAAACTCATTTGAGAACTGACTTTTTGGGGATCCAATGCTTGATGACAAACTGCCCTGCAAAGTTGCAGCTCTGATTCCTGCATGCATATCCACTCTATTTCTACTGAAGAGTGGCTTATGAAGAATAGGTGTTCACAGGTCCTCCAAAAATCTTGGGAAAACTATAGAGCTGAAAGATGACCCCTCCAGAAAGACTGAAAGGGGAAAGTGGCAACACTCCAGCCTAAGGGGTGGAAGAAAGGTGACCTGCAGCATGTAGGTGAGAGTTTACCTGCCAGGGCATCTGGAGGGCTGAACCTGTCTGCAGCATCATAGAACTCCTCCTCAGAGCTTGTGTCACCAAAGCCTGGGGGCGGCTCCAAAATTAGGTTGCTTGCTTCTGTTGTCTGCTCTGCTCCACATGGTGCCTCTTCCTGGGCAGACCCAGGATGACTTTGAGGGCTGTGACTCATGTTGCTCCTCTCCACACTGCCTGCAGGGGATGTGCTGTAGCACAGGCTGTAATAGCCCACGGTGTTTCTCTCAGAGAGCTTGGTGTCCAGCACAGACACATCGTCCTCCCCTCTCTGCTCAGAGGGGATGTCTTCACAACCAGGCTCCTCTGCATGCGATACCTGCAAGAAGCAGTAGTCTCTGGTTTCTGCCCTGTTGGATCCTTCTGTGGCATGAATGGGGAAGAAGCTCTTGTCTGAGCTGCTCATCTCCTGCACTGTTGGTATGTGTAAGTGGAAGAAGTCTGGCCTGGAGGAAGAGCAAGCTTCCAACTCATCTTCTTCCAGTGCATCCATAGAGTCACTGGAGCCACTTGTCTTAAACCCTCGGCTCTCAGTGTTGGCTGAATCTGAAGCCTCGGATGTGCTGTCTGTTGTTGCATTGTCAACCCCATTGCAGTGTTTGCTCCCTCCACCTTGGAGCTTTGTGCTGTCCTTCTCCAGAGAGTGGCATTCTCCCAGCTCCTCCTCGTGGCACACAGGATGGGCACTGCTGTGTGCTATAGGAGTGTCCAAGCCATGCTCTGAGGAGGAATCCAGCTCCCAGGAGTCTTCAGAGTCACTGCAGGTTCGAGATTCATACCCTGGGATTTAAACACATCTGTCAGCCTTTCCTTTGTGGTGGCAAGGGGGAACCAGACAAGGGTTACAAATGTGTCTGCATAGCAGGGACTCAAAGCCCAGAGAGCTGTGCCCTCACTTGCTCATCAGCAAACAAGGTGAAGATGCAACCTGAACTGCAGGGCCATAACCTGACAGTTGAGGTTTGGTCCCTCCTGCCTGCTTTGCCTGCACAGGGACCTGAAGAGCAGCAGCCAGTAAAGCCTCAGCCTGCAACCCTTATGAGGCTGGAGTTATCCTGACAAGGGACTAGACAGCATGGCAGACAGGTCTTCTCTCTTCTGGCCAAGGGATGCCAGCAGAGGGGGAGGCTGATCACCAGGCTGGTAGAAGAACACAGAGCTCAGTGACAACTGGTTATAGCAATGGCAGTCAGCCTTTGCTTTTTGGGAAAGCTGAAGTTGCTGCTGCTGTGCCCCTGCTTGACACCTCTGGGACTGATGGAAATTTGATGTGTCCTGCACCAAGGCAGGCAGTCTTAATTTGCAGATCTCATTGCACACCTCGGGGCTACTGTCCTAGTATGATGCTATTCAAAGGAGGGAATAATAACCCTGGTGCTGGAGGATCTACCCACTTCCTCCCCATCATTTGGCAAAAATAAACAGCTGGGTTTTTTAAACCTTCTTCAGCTGAGACACGGTGCAGTTGCTCTTTTTTCTCTGCCCAGGTAAATATGGAGACATTTGCATCGACAAACAGCCTGTAATAGCCAGTGATGAGGCAGATGAGATCTTTTGCACTGTTTGATTCCAGTAGCAGAGTCAGGACCTTGTTTGGGGGGGGTGTTAAGAGGGGCGGAAAAAAAAAAGTAAAATATGTTAGAATAGATAAATATTGCTTGCAGCACAATCTGCATGAGCATGCTGTAGACTGAAAAGACATTCCCCCTTCCCACACCACTACCATTAAAGAGCACTCATGTTTTGCATCAGGAACAGAGAAATAAGAGAAATTGTTTTTCTTGCATTTTGTTTCTTTGGTATGTGTCATTGACCTAGGATAGCAGGAAGAATCACTTTTCTTCAGCCATTTTGTATTCTTCCTCTGAGCTTTCCCTTATCAGTCTGTTCTAAGCCTTTTGTTCTGATGAAAACATCAGCTAAGCATCAAATTTTTAAAAGAACAGATGGTGTGAATGACTCTTGCTGTGTTCTCTGGCCCTGATGAAGCCACACACCAGGATGACAAAAACACTGCTCACCTTCAAATCCTGCAGGTAGACCTTCACCATGCTCACTTTCTCAGACTCCTCTGTGAGCTCCACCTTGCTGATGTTTGAAAACTCTGCCAGACTTGTTATGATGTTGAGCTTATTATTGATAATCTGGCTCACCCCGTACTTGGCACCCACCAGCAATGCAACATACGATTCTCTGTCCTGTAGCTGTAGGGGGAGAGGGTAAATCTGTAGCCAAAATCTGAGCATGAACCCATTCATACGTTAGGGTTAGGGATTCCTCAGCCACCTGGTCTTGTGTGACACTCTTTTTGCACACTCTCCTTACAGCTGGGCTGTAACCAACTGCCAAGGGAGTTCATTGTTACCTACAGGATTTTGGGCCACCTGCTCCCAGCCACCCTCTTTGGCATGGGGTCCTCCAGTTTCCATGTGCCCTCAAGGCATGTGGTCCCAGAGATGCTTGAGCCATCTAGCAAGTGAGAGTACCCAGAGAGTAGTGGTCAATGGCTTGACGTCTAGCTGGGCAAAAGTGACAAGTGATGTCCCTCAAGGGTCTGTACCGGGACCAGTGTTGTTTAGCATCTTCATCAATGACATAGACAGTAGCATTGAGTGCACCCTCAGCAAGTTTGCTGACAATTCTGAGCTGGGTGGTGCAGTTGACATGCCAGAGGGACAAGAGGCCATCCAGAGGGACCTGGACAGGCTGGAGAGGTGGCTCAGGGGAACCTCGTGAGGTTCAACAAGACCCAGTGCAGGGTTCCTGCACCTGGGGAGCGGCAACCACC